CCTACCCCTCCGGAACATCATCAAGACCACATTGCTAATGAACCGTGCACGTCTTGTAGTGATTTGAGACGCCGATTTGAGCGGTTGGAGGAAAGGGTATCTGATTGGGTTTTGATTTGTCATCAGCGGATGAACGACTTCGATCGGTTTTTCCACGATTCTATATCTCAAGTGGACTCGATACGAGCATAAACTAAAGTGTTGGTGTCCACCCCTCAAGGTCATGTTTGGTTCCCTTGGACTATTAGAAGAGATAATTAGAGAGGGGCAAAAAAAAAACCTGAGGTACAACAAGCTCAACGGCCAAGGAGTCATTTGACAATCGAGCCGGGGCCCATAACGGTCAATCTTAATGTGAAGTTTGACACAAGGAAGAAAGAGGAGATAGCAAGAGAAGTCTCTTTAACTATACCAAAAATCCAAGAAGTGTCGAGACTCTTCAACTATGTCAACCGTATTGAGCATCTCGTAGCCACTAAGTGCGAGTTTGAAGAGCATCCAATCGTGGACATATCGCAAGCCTATCCGTTGTTTGTTGAGCGTGAAGTGCATATAAGAGGAATAACCCATGCCTGTTCATCATTTCGTGTGCAATTAAGGGAGCCACTTTCAACAATGTGGTGGTAGACCTTTTCTCAAATCTCAACATCATTAGCTTCGAATTGTATCGGAAGTTGGGATTACCGAGTCCGAGGCCGACAAATACGGCTGTAAAACTGGCCAATGATTCAATAGCCTACCCAAAGGGGAATATAGAGGACGTCTTGGTCAGAGTTGGATCGTTTGTTTACCCGGTAGATTTTGTTATAGTGGATGCGAAATACAACACCCCAATCTTACTCCGAAAAACTTTCTTGGCAACAGCGAGAGCTGTACTTGAGGTTCTGGAGAGACGTGTGATTTTGGAGTATAGAGGGGATAAGTTGACTATACACCTCTCAAGCAATTGTCGAGGTACTTCAACCTCCTTCGCTGCCTATGTGGGGTCGAGCTTCTAGAATGTGCAAATTTCTCCGACCAAGACGAATCTAACGTCCAACCCGGTACAACCTTCCCAAAAGAGCAAGGTAGCACCCCTAGAAGAAGAAGCGACGACTGGTCAAATCCTTAAAAGGATTTTCAAAGAGACCACTCATCCCCCAACCTTCAACTTCGACACCACAATGAATCTGCCTTCTGGGTCATCAGTAAAGAGGGGAACCGATCGGCTTCACAGGATGCACTTGGGCTTGCATTACAAGGGAGCTTGATGAAACCACCCAGGATTGAGGAGATCCTTCCACTTGAGTGACTTCTCATGATCTCAAGTCCGGAGAAAAGACTTCAAAGACGGACTTGGTGGGAGGTACCCCAACACTTCGGTTTGTTTTTCTTCTACTCTATCGTATTAAATTAATTAATTATTAGAATTAATTAGATTAGGCACCTTGGTTTCGCACTCTAACCCTCAGATTTGTCTTTGGTCTCAAACCTAGCGGGAAAACTAAGAGTCCTCTAGATCGCCGCCTCCAAGGGGAAGGATTGCGGCTGCGATCTCGCGATGCTAGCCCGCGAAACTCCCCGTCCTCGAGGTTTAAAACTCAGCTGATGGGCTGTGCGATTTTTGATTCTCATTTACCCCACTTTTCATCCCTCTTGGTTTGCACTCATTACTAGCATGGCTCTCCACCACCCACATAGATTTTTTTTTTTTAGTAATGGATTATGTGATGATTTGAGTAAAACCGATTCAAGGTAGCGTTCTCGCAATTATTCCTCTATTAAATATGAGTGCACTTGTTTACCTTCGGAAGTAGTGTGTGATTTCTTTTTTGGTTGTCACCTTGATACGTGCTTCAAGTGATTTGTGGTAAAGTACGTCTCTACCTCTTCTCGTTAGAAGTTTGGGCTTGGAATTGGTCCAAGATAGGGTGCATAACCCATGGTTATGCACCCGTGAGTAACCCAACAGGAGCCGTCCATCTGGAGCGGGGAGATCTAACGGCTGGGGTCGGAGCGGGGTGGGGCAGGGGTATTTTTGTCCATTTTTTGAATTTATGTCCTTCGCTCGTTATTCCTTTTTTGTTTATCCTTGGCCGAGCTGGAATTGGATTCATGAGAGAGAATGAGAAGTAAACAGAGCAATCGAGAGTTTTTCTCCGAAGGATCTGTCGATGGCGAGAAGGTTGGTGGAGGACGCGATTCTTAGCTTAATTGGCAGTGGATTTGCGAGTTATAGTTGTTAGAAGGTCTGTGGAGGACGCGATTCTTCTTCTTCTTCTTGCTCGAGGTTTTGGCTCGATTTGTTTGTGTTGAAGTTTCTGCTGGCCGTTGTTTGGTCTCCGTCGAGGTAATTTGTAGTGATAGTAGGATTTCACGTTTGCGGATTGATTCCGTTCTGTAATTTGTTTTTGATGTTGTGTATATATGATTATACCATGCAATACCAGTTTATACCATATATCTGCGTTTTCTCTTTTGTGCTCTCTGTTTTATGTTCTTTGTGATCAATGATCTCATTATGTTTGTATAAGTTTGTTCAGTTGATTGATCCGTAGTTGAATTTATGTTTTGTGCAGGAATTTTTTGAATCTTCTTTGTTGACTGAGCTTTTTTAGTGCAATGAGTGATCTCAATCAAGGCGCCATTGTTTCTTTGAATGAATCTAATACTGGATCTAGTTCTTCTAATAGTATTGTTGAATCGGAAGGTAAGAATTTTAAATGTGTTTGGTAAGTTGATGTTTGTATATATGTTATACCATACAGTACCATACTGGTATTTTATAGTATTTTTGCATATGAGTGTTGTGTTTTATTTTTTGTAGATTGTTTTTATAGTTGTTGTGATTTTATGTTTCTGTATATATGTTTATACCATGCAATACCTTGCAATACCATGTTATACCATATGGTACCAGTGTTTATACCATGTTATACCATACTGGTATACTATGGTATTTTTGCATATGAGTGTTGTGTTTTATTTGTTGTAGATTGTTTTTATAGTTGTTGTGATTTTATGTTTCTGTATATATGTTATACCATACAATACCATGTTATACCATAAGAAACTACACTGGTATTTGTATAGTTTTGATTGTAATAAACTTTACCATATGATACAATGGTGGTATTATAGTTTGTACAGCATTAATGTTTCATTGTTTTTATGTTTTAGGTTTTGATGGTATTGATCCTAATGTTCGAAGTTCCTGGAACAATCTTGAGTTCGCTACAACTGATGATGCATATAGATTTTATGTGGATTATGGGAATTATAAAGGTTTTTGTGTGAGGATTTACCATCAGTCGGCATGTCCGAAGCTTAATAATGGTTCAAATGTGGTTTATTATATCAAGTATTGTTGCAATAAGGAAGGCTGGAGGATTGGTAGTGAGAATAATCCTGCTAATCGTGGTTCTATTGATGCGAAGGCTCGTGTTCGTCATGTTCCAGAAATCAGGGGTGGATGTGATGGTGCCTATATTCGAATTAGGTGGTTTAAGCAGTTCAATTGTTACAAGATTTATAAGTGGTATGATGTGCATAACCATGACATGATTCCTGTGGCTATGCGTCACTACATGAGATCGAATAGGAAAATGGCTCCTGTGTATAAACTGTTGGCAGATGTGAATGATGCTGCTGGTATAGGTGCGACTGCTTCGTATAATGCAATTAGTACAGCTGGTGGTGGTCGGAAGTGTATTGGTTTCACAAGAAATGATTTGAAGAACCACCTGCGGACAGTGAGGACGTCATCAATGGAGCATGGTGATGCAACTGCATTACTAAAACACTTTAGAAGACAAGCTAAGCTGGATCCTGGCTTTTTTCATGAGGTAGAGGTTGATGTGGATGAGAATATTGCTAGTATTTTTTGGGCAGATGGGAAGATGCGGATGGATTATCATTTTTTCGGGGATTCAGTTAGTTTTGATACTACATACAGAACGAATAAAGAGTATCGACCACTAGGTATGTGTTCTTATTTTTATTTGGTATTATGTTGTTACCTGTTAATACTATGGTGGTATTTTGTGGTATTCATTATGTTGTTATCTGTTAATACTATCGTGGTATTTTGTGGTATTCATTTTTTTAACACTGTGTACCACATGGTATGTGCAGCTCTGTTTGTTGGTTTCAACAACCATCATCAACTTACTGTGTTTGGAGCTGCCCTTCTATATGATGAAACAACGGCAACGTTTGAGTGGTTGTTTAATCAGTTTTTGGAATGCATGGGAGGTGTGAGCCCGTTGTCTATCTTTACTGATCAGGCTGCTGCAATTGCTGCTGGTATAAAGTCTGTTTTCCCAAGTTCTTTCCATGGATTGTGTTCATGGCATATCTCACAGAATGCAGTTGTTAATTTGGGATCTTTGTGTGATTCGGATTTCCTTTGTGAGCTTAGCTATTTGATGTACAATGTTGATGATGAGGATGATTTTGAGTATAATTGGAAAAGAATGATAGATAAGTGTTTCCCTGGGAAAGGACCTCTTGGACACAGTTGGTTACAAGGTATTTACAAGGTGAGGGAGAAGTGGTCATCGGCTTGGGTGAATTCTCATTTTGGTGCTGGTATGAAGAGCACCCAGTTAAGCGAGTGTTGCAACAGTAATTTTCGTCATTACTTGCAGTCAGAATTTAGTATTCCTAGATTCTTTGTACATTTTGATAGGATGCTTGATAATAAGAGAGATGCTGAAGAAGAAGAGGAGTACAGAGCACTTTCTACGTTTGCTGATTGTCGCTTTTCAAGCAGTGCTATTGTCAAGCAAGTTGCTGATCTATATACCCCAAAAATATTCCAGCTTTTTCTAGGACAGTACAAAGAATCTCTTTCATACAATGTTTTCCCTAATACAGAGTTAGCTCAAGAAGGGAATGTAAAGATCTTTGATGTCTTTACATTGTTAGCAGACTTGTCAAGGTTTGACAGCAGACTGCTCATAGTTGATTTTGATAATGGTGAAATTAAGTGTACTTGTCGCAAGTGGGAGTCAAGCGGTTTGTTGTGTAAGCATCAATTGAGGGGATATGATTTGTTGTGGTCTACAACTTGCAATGTGAAGTTTCATCACATCCCTTCTAGTTTGATTTTGAAGCGATGGACAAGGACAGCAAAAACTGGTGGGAATTTTGGATTTGCAGTTTCGTCTACTGAGGCTCCGTCAAAGTATCGGTCTCGCCTGTTTAATATTTCAGCTGTTTCTGCTTCGCTTATCAATAGGGTTTGTTTGAATGATGATTTGTATAAAACAACCATGGATTTCATGAGTGATTTGATCAAGAAGTGTGAAGCTTTACCAACTGTTGAAACAGCTGGTACGGGTGGATCGACCAACTGTGAGAGTAAGTTCCTTGGCCCCCTTTTGTTTGTGTATATGATTTTTGTTATTTTTTTGTCTGCCAAGTTGTTTTACCATGTTGTACCATGTTGTACCATGTGGTATAGTGTGGTTTTCTTTATTGTTTCTGGTAATATGTTGGAATACCATATGGTATTATGTGGTATTGATTGTAGTATGTATTTCTTATTTGTAGGTGATGTTCCAGTTCGAAATGTGAAGGGGTTTAAGCCTAAGAAGGATTCATTTAAGCCTTCGAAACGACCTATTACAGAAGCTGAGATTGGAAGGGCGGCTAGTAGGAAGAAGAAAAAGACTAGCAGATTGGAAGAGGAGAAATTGAAGGCTGTGGAAGAAAGTTTGAAGTTGAAGTTGTGATAGTTGTTTGAAGGCTGTGGAGTTTTATTAGCTGTTGAAGGATGTTGATTTTTATGTGTTTCTTGCATATTTGTTTTGTTTTGAAGTAGTATTGATCTGCACATGTGAAGGACTTAATGTTTAGTGGATGATTTTAACCTTTGATATAATGTTTTTTCTATATGGTGTTGTGTGGTGTTTTTAAAAATGTTTATACCATGTTATACCATATGGTATACTATGGTAAAAACATTTTTATGACTGTAATCTTAGCTAAGTGTTGTGTTCAGTTTAGCATAAAATAGCATGTGGCTTTGTTCTGGTGTATTTAAAAATCCTTATACCATGTTATACCATATGGTATACTATGGTAAAGATCTTTATACCATGTTATACCATATGGTATACTATGGTATAAACATTCTAGATGACTGTAATGTTAGATATGTGATCTGTGATGTGTTCAGTTTCCATAAAATACCATCTATGTTGTTGTGGTGCATTTAAAAACGTTTATACCATGTTATACCATATGGTATACTATGGTATACACATTTTGATGACTGTAATCTTAGATCTGTGACAATAATAAGGGGTAAGATAAAGTACTAGGCTGTTACATAACCATAATAAGAAGTGTTTCAAATGTAAGTTATAACACACCCATAAGAAACACACTGAATACCTTGTTTGTTCTAAAAAGCACACACATAAAAAAAAAACTAGCAAATTGGTTGTCTGCAAAACCATTGTTTTCAGAAGCTGATGTCTATAGTAGATATTGTAACCATACTGATTCTGTCCCCTTCCCTTACTTGCTTTGATTCTTCATAGCACAGTACTTTGTGGCAGCCTTCATTATCCGATCACGCTCCAGGTTGTCTTTATTGAGGATGATATCCAGCATGATACACTCCCTGTCTTCTTTGATCAGATCCATTCTCTTCCAGTCTGATTGCATAAAAGTCTTGTACTTTCCTTCCCAGTGGCGCATCCATCTGATGATGTACAATCCACATGAGCGTTTATCTGGCTGTGTAATCTTCCCCAGATTGAACCAGTCAAACTTTTCCCAGGGGATTTGTCTGTTTCCACCGTACACACTCATGTAGTTGATTGCATAATTGATAACTCTTGCTGCCACTGGTCTGTAAGTCGAGTCAAAGTCTTTGTAGCGGAGACTGTCAAGCACATCAAATCTTGTGTTCTTGATGTTGACACAGATCATGATGTAGTGTTCACCATCACAGTAAGGGAAGAACCACTGTATATAAATGAAGTGAGAATGTTAATGGACAATTATAAATATGTTTTGAGGAATAGTTTTTTGATGTCATACCATATGGTATTTTATGGTATTTGTAGTGTTACTTACAAGGTCACAGTTCTGGAAGCTGAGGTCTTTTGCCCATGGTTTGTCAGAAATATATTCATCCACCTTGTCGAAGTATTGGTCTGCACTTAGTGGAGGTTTGTTGTTTTCTATGTCCAGCTTGCAGTCAGACTGTACATTTGAAATTATGTTAAAGCAATCATATATTCAGGTATGGTAAGTATAGTACATTAAAATATGGACAAACTTACTGCCAAATGACTAGAGAAGAACCACTTGGTGATTTTTCCTGTTTTTGCTTGATCTCTGTTCATCAGATCTCCATACCAGTCCACGACATCATTTGTTATCAGTTGATCTATGTCAACAGATTGCAATGATGACCTTTTGAGCAAGCCTGTTCCATCCTCCCTTCTGAACATTACCTCGTCCCTGTTCAGAAGAGTATACCATATTATACCATGTGGTATTGTTCAACATTATACCATATCATACCATACCATACCATACCATATGTCATTAAGAAATTAATTGATATTAAGAAATTTACTTACTCGGAGACAATCTTGTTGTCTTTGCACCTTATGTACTCAAGAATGTCATTGAAAACTTCATCAGGAGTTGTCTGAGGTGGTGTAACCATCATTGCAATTGGGATTGCATCTAGGGCACCATCTTTTGCTTCAACTGGTTGATTTGCTGCTGATGAGTCCATTCCTGGCATTGGTTGTGAAACTGGTGTACTCAGGTCATCAATGTAAGCAGCCAAACATGCATTTATCTCCTGTAGCCTCTCCTGGCTGTTCGAGTACAAGCTTGACCATTCAATGAATTGTTTATTCTCCAACTGTTTGCTTGTTTTTTCTTGTGGAGGGGTTGATGTTTTTGCTTTCTTCTCTGGTCCATGGACATTCTTAACCACTATCCTTCTTTTGCGCGGTTCTTCTGGTTGTTGTGATGCTGTTGCTGTGGTGATGTTGACATTTTCTGTTTGTGATGGTGGATTGAATGGGCTGAGGTCAAAAGATGGTATGTCCCTGTCTTTGGTGGTGGTTGTCTTTGGTGGTGCATCTGTGGGTTTCCCTGCAGACTTTGGTGGTGGCTGTATTGCTTCTTCATCATTGTTCTTCTCCTTTTCTCCCTCCTTTGAAACAAGCACATCTGACTGTGTCTTTTCACTGTCATCTGCCTCCTGATCTTGATTCATTTCACTTGACTTTTCTTGATTTCCTTTTTTGCTGGCCTCCTGGTTCTTCTCAGCAGTTTCAGTAGTATCCTTCTCAGCAGTTTCAGCAGGATTCTCTTTCTGCTGTTGAGCTTCTGGTTTTGTTGGAGAACCATCTTGATTCTTCCTTTTCTTCCATTGTGTTGGTCCAGCTAGATCCACTGTTGTTTGTTGAGAATCATCATTTCCTTCAGATTCAGTGACTGTGGGTTCTTTCCTTTTGTCTGTTTTGAGCTTGTCAAAAAAATGCTGCAGAGTGTCTTGCAGGTTTGCATCTTTTTCTATATCTTCATCATCAGACTCAGCTCCTTCAGTTTGTTCGATAATCACGTCATCAGATCTTTCTCCTTCCACTTCATCAAAGTTTTGATCAGCTTTTTGCTCCAACATTTCCTTGTGTTTGACAAGCTCTTCAATTTGAGCTCTGTACTGCTTCTTGATTGATAGCAACATAGCTTTCATTGATGTTTTCACCATCTTCAGTGCTCTCTCAGCCTGCATTAGTCATTTTTGGTCTGTAAGTTAATATTTACAGTAGAATACCACATATTACCATGGTGGTATTGAATGGTATGTGCATTATACAGTATAATACCATATATTACCACCATGGTTCATGTGTGGTATTTTAGTTGTATGAATTGGACAATTTGTAACATATGGTAATTTATACTTACTTGGGGAACAGTCTTGATCATCTTCAAATCAAATATCATTGATGCTGATGGTTGTTGGTCTGTGTTGTTGTCATCATCATCACTGTCAATGTCGACAATCTTCTCTTCTTTGTCCTGTATCTTCATCAGCTTATGGAGTTCTTCTCCACCATAGTAGCTCACTATGTTTTCAAAGTTCCTTTGCACAGCAGTGTCATCATAGTAGCTTGCTGTTGGGATTTGGAACTGGGTGGAGAAGGCCATTTCATCCAACTTGTACATGAAGCGTACCTTTTATTTGTTTGTGGCAAGGAGAAACAGTTGTATTAGTATTTGATGTACTAGGATTTGTAAAGCTTTTAGGGTATAGTAATTGAAAATGGAATTATTGTGGGTATAGATACTTACTGTTAAGAAATGAACATCTGCATTGATGTACACGGTTTTTGCAGTCAACCCGTGATTCATGTAGTCGAAGAAGAACTTGCACCAGTTGTATTCTTTGAAATGGTTGATTGTGTCTGGCTGCATGTACTCCAGCACATTCAACTCAGCAGTAGGGTTTGAATATGGGCACAGTAGAGCTCCCGTAACCAGAATCCAGAACAGCTTGATCCATCTTGCAATGGTATGAGCATTAGAAATGTCATGCTCTACATTAGCTAATTTCACCCTTCCATTTGTAGCTGGAGCTTCTAGTTCTAGTAGGACCTGCGTCGCATAGTCTACTGCTTCTTCCACTGATAATTTCTTGAGCGTCACTTCCTTTTTACCCATTGGTAGACCATAAACTCTATGAAAGTCAATTGGTGATATCTTCATGTAGGTTCCACCAGGCAGCTTGAATGCTTTCTTTATCGGATTGTACTTGCTCATTGTGAATAGAGCAAAGTTCGTGTTTATCTTTGTTTGCTGGATGGATGTTAAGCCGTCAAGGCCTAATTCCTGCAATTTTTCCCTCTGTTCAGCTGTTAATGTTCTTGAAAGTGCATTGATTCTTGTCGGGCTGCACCTTGTTCGAAATTTGTCCCTATGTCTCGACATGATGTACCTGCATCCAGAATAGAAGAATTGCTTTAACATACCATAGCATACCATAGCATACCATATTCTACCAGTAAGCAAAAACACCAACTACCATACCATAGCATACCATACTATACCATATTCTATCAGTAAGCAAATGAATAATTGAGGTAGTGGCTTTGACCAGTACTTGTGTGGTTTCTCCTTAGAATACCATATTGTACCAGTGTGGTATTGTAAGAAAATCTGAGCATAGAATAGGTTTTTATACTTTTCCTATAAAATCTTTTTCATTTTTACTTTGACCACTACTGGAACGGTTTCTCCTTATAATACCATATGGTACCAGTGTTTATACCATGTTATACCATATGGTATACTATGGTATTGTAAAAAAATCAGAGTATGAAATAGGTTTTGTTGTCGTTTTATACACTTTTCTATAAAATGTATTTCACTGTAAGTACTTTTACCACTATTGGAACGGTTTCTCCTTATAATAGCATATGGTACCAGTGTTTATACCATGTTATACCATATGGTATACTATGGTATTGTAAAGAAATCAGAGTATGGAATAGGTTTTGTTGTCGTTTATACACGTTTCTATAAAATGTAGTTCACTGTAAGTACTTTTACCACTGCTAGAACCTTTTCCCCTTAGAATACCACATGGTACCAGTGTGGTATTGTGAAAACATCAAGCATAGTAGAGTTTTTCGACACGTTTCTATAAAATGTAGTTCACTGTAAGTACTTTTACCACTGCTAGAACTTTTTTCCCTTAGAATACCACATGGTACCAGTGTGGTATTGTGAAAACATCAAGCATAGTAGAGTTTTTCGTTTGGTTTTTGTGATGTATGTACTTGAAATTAGACATTCAGAATCACGAATCTAGTTTTTGAAGAAAGAAGTGATGATTTACCTTGATCGTGTCTAAGTTGGAAACCCTAATTTTGTCGCTGAAGACGTTGAAGTGGAAACCCTCACTTGATCTCTGAAGGCGTCGAAGTGGAAACCCTCACTTGATCACTGAAGGCGTCGAAGTGGAAACCCTCACTTGATCGCTGAATAACTGAGATTGGAATCCTTTGCTACGCGAACTGAAAACTCGAGATTCGACTTCGACGGTGCAGTTTGCGAAGATGAAACGCGAGAGAGAGAGAGAGAGAGTGAGAGAATGGATAGCGTGAATGCAGAGCAAAAAAGCAGAAACTCGAACCGTCTGCGATTTCTCTGGTGATAATGATGGCGGGGAAGTGTCAGTTACCTTTTTCAAATTGTCAGAAGGTTGATTACTATTTTACCCCTACGTGTATTTATTATTTTACATCTGACGGTTGCGGATGGATTGCAATGGACGGCGGATGGGGTGGTTACTCACCGTTACTGACCGGTAAGTTACTTACAGGAACTGCTCCCCTTGGAATTGGCTTGGCTTGGCTTGGCTTGGAGTACGGATAGTTCATAATAGTGTGGAGCACTATGCTTCTGTGGTGGATCTCCTAGGACGGGCCAATAAGCTGAATGAAGCCGCTAAATTAGTTGATGATATGCGGATTGAACCAGTGCCAAAGGTCTGGGGATCTCTCCTTGGATCGTCTAGGGTTCATTGTAACGTTGAGCTTGCAGAGAGGGCTCGCACAACGCTTTTCCAACTCGAGCCTGCAAATGCTGGGACCTACGTGCTGCTTGCTGACACTTATGCGGAAGCTGGCAAGTGGGACGCAGTAAAAAGAGTTAAAAGGCTCGATCGATGAGTTTTATCCCCAAACTGAGCAGCTACATGCTCTGCTGTGAGAATTATCAACGGAGAAGAAGGAGAAAGGACATGCACCGCATATAAAAAGTGGTGCTATGTGACCTTGGGAAAGATGAAAAGCAGAGGATTGTGCTTGGCCACAGTGAGAAATTAGCCCTAGCATTTGGACTCATCAACACCAGCAATGCAGAGCCAATTCGGATCACCAAACACCTTTGGTTGTGTGAAAGATTGTCACTCTTTACCAACTTCATATAAAAGTTTGCAAGTAAAAGAGATTCCGGTGAGAAACGTTTCACCATTTTCGGAATGGGGTTTGTTCTTGTGGGGATTATTGGTGATAATCAAGGTCATTCCTCTTATTCTGTTTCTCTCGAGTTGTTTCTGCTTGCATTCTTGGCACACACAAAAGTCAGCAAGCTTTCATATTTTTTTGTGGCACGCATGTATATCAACTTATACACCTTACAGTTTTGAGAAAATAATACGCCCGTGTGAGATCTGGTAATAGCCATTCCATCTGATTGCTTCATTCATCGTTCTTTCCCGTAGCAAGGTAGGCGAGTTCTGTAGGCAATAAGTATCTCATGCCCTGTTCACTTCCCATTTCATTTTCTGTTTTCTGTTTAAAAAATGAAAATCAGGAAACAAATGACATTTAAACGTGTTCACTTGACCATTCCATTTTCCATGAAAAAACCCAATTATTACAAATGGGAAAGCTTTGGGAAAACGATTAATACCTGTTTTCCGAAAACAATGACATGGGTTATGCCCCGTTTCCCAGAGGAAAACGCACTAATCCATTCAATCGGCCCGCGTTTGATTCACCACAGCGCTCTTTTTTTACCCTTTTTCCTCCGACCTCCTACGCTGCCGTTTTGCCCTCCTAAATCAACCCTAGAGACTAACTTCGGCCGCTCTTTTCCTCTTCTCCCTCCAGCCCACTTCGGCCGCTCATCTCCCTCACTCCCCTCCAGCCCCGCCGCTCAAGAACAACAGCCGCTCTTTTCCTCTTCTCCCTCCAGCCCACTTCGGCCGCTCATCTCCCTCACTCCCCTCCAGCCCCGCCGCTCAAGAACAACAGCAGCGGTTCCAGGCTGCAGCTCGTTGTGAGGGCGGCCGCCGACGAGGGAGCTGCGCCACCTGCTGCTACTACTACAACGGCAGATGGTGAAGCTCCTAAGGCTAAGGTCAAGCCGCCACCGATTGGACCCAAGAGAGGAACCAAGGTTAGATTTTGGTTACTATATATATAATATATTTCCCTCTACTTGTATTCACTGATCATCATACAGCAAAAGGCTTGACGCATCTGTGTTGTTAAAACATGTGCAACAGGTGAAGATTCTAAGGAGGGAATCCTACTGGTTCAATGGAATTGGATCCGTAGTAGCTGTTGATCAGGTGAGACACAAATTTGGAAGTTGTAATCTTGGTTCTTTTTTTTTTCTCTGTTCAATTTCCACTCAACTGTTGATCATTGTTCTTGCATGTTGTGTTATACATAACTTTATTAGGATCCACTCTAGTAACGACACTCTGTTTGAAGGTGCTCAAAATTATTGCACGGGGGAGAATGCCAATGGAGTGCAAGGAGGACAAGAACGAGAAGCATATAATCATAGTTCAAGCCAAACTCGAGCGATGGATGCACGACGAGATGGAATAGCAAACAAGTTGTGGGATGACTTTCAAGCTGAACTTATTTGAATTTTTATGTTGTACTAGTACTTAATTAATATAAGATGTTGTACTTGTATTGTGTTTATTAGTTTAAAAACTATTTAATTCGAATTAAAAATTATAATCATGGCTAGGGTTGTATGATAATCAAGAATCAGAAAACAGAATGAAGCAACTAAACAGGTTTTCTTTTCAGAACTCAGTTTCAGAACTCACCAAAATTCTCAGCTAAACAAGGTTTTTTCAGGTTTTGTTTTCCAGGAAATGGTCAGCTTCGTTTTCATTTTAATTTTGTTTTCTGTTGTGGCAGCTAACAGAAATGGAATGGCAAGTAAACGGCCCATCAGGTTGCCTTTCATTGTCCAAGCAGAAACAGGCCTTGTAGGTTATCCCAAATACCACCAAATCCAGATGGCTTTGAAGAGTACACAATAGACACAAGGTTTGGAGAAGTATGGCCATGTTTGGAGGATGTGATTTTCATTGATGTATTTAATCAATACATGAAATCATAAGATTCAGGGGTAAATGACACATTTGGTCACTGAGATTACTAAATCGTGTCATATTTGGTCACTAGAAAAATTTAATATCAATTTTGGTCACTCGAATTACTGACACAGGTCACATTTGGTCACTCTTCTGTAGCCTCTGTCCAACTCCGGTCACTCGAATTATTGAAAAATGTCACATTTAGTCACTCGGATTACTGAAACATGTCACATTTAGTCACTCTCCCAAAAGTTTCCGTCGAACTACATTAATGGAGTTGGACGGAAACTGACGGGAGAGTGACTAAATTTGACCAGTTTCGGTAATTCGAGTGACCAAAATTGATATTAATTTTTTCTAGTGACTATACATGACACAATTTAGTAATCTCAGTGACCAAATGTGTCATTTACCCTAAGTGTTGTTGGCTGGGATGGTTTAATATTTAATTGAACTTCTCTTGTTTTAGGTGTCCTATTATAGCTTGTTTTTTGTAGCTTGTTTTTAATAATGTAACTTGCTGGTTTATTATTAGTAATATGTAATGACATTATTATCAAACTGTAATCAATTCTCAGGTTCATCAACAAAACATCCACATTCCAAATCATATAGCTTTACCTGAACGCCCTGTTCAATCCAAAAAGGGAAGGGCATTAATGTCATTGGTCTCAAAAAGTGTAATTTCTTTTTACAACCAATACACAATCTTTAACACATCCAAACAAGGGATTTGTCTAATACATACATTCAATCAATACCTCAAATCATAATACAGTAATTGAACCAATACATGAATTTGGACAATCACATCCTCCAAACATGGCCATATATTTCTATTAATTGTGAGAAGGAAAAAGAACCGTTATGCACTAGGTACTGAACGGCATCCCCACATCACTTTCCTGGACCCAAAACGAAGAAAGTAACATGAGGGTAACTGCCCTTCTCCTCTTCCAGCTGGGTTGTTCGCCCTAAAGTCGAGCATTTCACAAGCTCTAGTAGGCACAAAAAGCCTGCAGTGGAGGTCAGCTAGTCATGAAGTATACGATGAATGAATAGTAGTGTTCTCTGCTTTCTCATTGAGCTGTCACGGAGCCATCCTGCTTCATCTTGATGAGACTGCTTTCAATGTTCCGCAGCACGGGTCTATAGCTGCGAATCCCGTACAAAAACACATTATTTTTTCTTTTAATAAATCTGTAGTGGGAAGACTGAAGAGTAGACACAAAGATCATAAGGTGTTCGGGGAAAGAACTTGGAAAGCAGAAACAGAAGAAACTCACGCATGTGCAAGACTAATGTATGCCTGTGTTGCCTGCTGGAGTTTTGCCGATAGCTGCATGACCTCTGCCGATAAAGCTTCTGCTCTGCTTTGTTCTTTTACGAGCTCCCCCTAAATAATGGAGAAGGAGACCATCAGATTAGAGAGAAATAAAAGAAACCTGAAACAACTAAGCAGACTATCGACTAACCTTGAGAGAGAGGACTTCAGTTGCAGATCCCTGTGAGTTTAAGCCATCTCTTTCTGGTTCTTTTGAGCCTCTCTGCATGTCATTGTAACTTGAAGACAGTACAGCTGTCTGTTCTGTTCTCAATTTATCGAGCATTACACGAAGTTCTTTATTCTGCTTGAGACAATCCTTTAACTGACAATCACGAGGAAAGCTGTTAGCATCAAGAAACAAACATCTAGAAAAGTAGGCAAACATCAACAGAAACCTGCTTTGAATACCAGAAACATCTAGCAACCAAGTGACCAGATAGTAACAGAAAAAAAAAATCTCGAGGACATTCAAGATTTCCTCGACAGATGACACTCTTTGTGCACCAAGCAACAAAGATAAAGAAAAGCATAAGAACAATGGAGCAACATACCTGGCTCTCCCATTGATTGGCAGTGTTCATTGCCTCTTGAAGAGAATGTGAAAGGTGGGAATTTTCTTCGAAAAGCTGCTCTATCTCTGAAGATTGGGAATCAATCTGGCAATAATACAAAAAAAGCAAGGGTGTTAAGCGTTCTTCTTTCAGCCAACACCTAAATAAAAGGATAAGGTAAACAGAAACTACACCTCCTTCAAAAGCTTCTGTCTACTACTTTCCAGTCTCTCAACTGCAACAGCCATATCATGCAACTGCTTCTCAAGTCTCTCTTTATCCTCCTTCAGGTTTCAATAACAAGGATAAATTCGAAATGCGAAATACGAAATGCAATTAGTGACTGGAACTTTTTTTTTAATGACAGATTGAATATAATTCACTTATTAAGGAATAACACGAAACCTAAAATAATAAATAACACAACCAAATGGATAGCCAAATAGAATTCATACCATTGAAAATACATTATGAGCAACACCTTCTGACACTTGTCCTGCATTGCACAAATAAGAGAGCCAGCAAGCAAGAAATTAATACAAAATAAAAGCCACATGAAGTAACCAGAAATATTTGAAAGTCTCAATTGACAAACAGTGGCCATCATCTTGTTTTTCACCTGTTGCACTTTGGGACACAGCAAGAAGTTTGTCTTCCAGCTGCTGTTTTTCAGACGCAAGGACAGAAACCTTGAGTTTCTCCTCCAGCAACCGCTGTTGCTCGAGTTGCCTCATGGCAGATTCTTGCTGCAAAATTTGGACCACCTTAGAGATAAGGGATGATCAATCCAGCAGGAATATGAAGAGAATGCAAACCTGCAGATCCGACTTCAAATTGGCCAACTCAAGTTCCAAGCTTTGTAATTGGTCTGATGGAATACCCATGGAAGTTATACCGTTGAGCTGATTACTCATTGCCTGGTGCTGAATTGAGTTCAACTCTGCTCTCAATGCTGCAGCATCTTCCTCAGCCTATTTCAAATGAGGAGGGGGGGGGGGGGGGGGGGGGGGGGGGGGAGGGGGGATGTTGAGATTATTACTCTATACCATTGTTGTTAAGATTCAGAAGCATAACATACTCTGTATTGTTCCTCTTCTGCATCCTTTAACCGTTTCTTTAGTGTACGAAGCTGCCCTGAAAGGTCCTCCTGCAGTAGCATTTCAGAGTTTTGGTGATGCATGAGAGAAGACGAACGAAGTAAAAAAGAAACTTCGAGTTAATTATTCTTACCTTTGCAACAACTGCTGCATCTTTTTCCATTGCTACATCCTTAAGGGCTTTCCTTAAAGATGGAACTGTACTCTGTTCCTGTCGTAGACAAGAAAAGACTAAACATTAGAAACAATGTAGAGATTTGACAGCAAACATTTCAAACACCAAATGCTATCTATGGAATAGCATCATAGCACAACAGGATCTCGGGTATCAGGTTTAACATTGGATTCCTCGGCTACTCGTATTCCAAAAAAGATCACTAGCATACTTAAAATCACTTATCAAGAAATTCTCCTAAGAAAACCACCAGGATAATAATTGTTGTGATATTCCCAAGCTTTTTCTAGTAACAAAATGATGGACACAAAGAGCATGAGTTACATAGAGCTTCAATCTCTAAGCCCAAACCAACAAGGACTTCTCTTTGATTTGCTAAACAACAAAGCGAGATAGGGAAAAGGCGGAGAAGACATTTGGAGTCTTTACCAGATCATTCACACGACTTTGTAAAGTCTCATTCGCAGCATTCTCGGTTTGGAGCTGAAAAAACACCAGAGCGAGAACATTCAGACTATAGCATAATGGGAGAGCCATGCAAGAACTAACTTTGATGACAAACATTGAATTCAGACTATAACTGCTAGGGTAATACCTTGAAAGACAGTACCCTGTTCTTCTCCTCTAACTCTGAATTCCTTTTCTGAAGTTCTTGCAGCTGCGCTACTAAACCACTAACATCAGCCTGCACGCACCACCAAAAATTCAGAATCTGGGGACTGCAATTTGCGGATAACATCACTAACCATGATCTTGCAATTCCCTTCTAATCTTACACAACAAACGCGCAGACTAATTCAGCAACTTATAAAATTTCAATTCTTGTCATGAATAACCTCCTGTGTCAAGCCCAGTGACAATTCTTAGCTGGGACCCCACTAAAAGAGATAAAGAAAGCAAAGAAACAACTAAGATGTGCAATTCCCACCTCTGAGAGTCGATTTGCACTCTCGGATTTCTTAATTCCAACATTATCTGCGGAAAATCAAAAGAAACATAGTCAAGTGCGCGTTGGAATAAGAAGAAACCGGCCGCGGGATGAACGATGCAGCCGTCTTTGTTGACAGAAGATCTAGGGAGACCTGCAAGGATTGGGGATTTGCTGAGATCTGGTCCAGACGATGCTTTGCTCAATCTCTCTGCCGCTCGCTTTTGTCGAATATCTTCCAGCTGCAGAGAATGGCAACGGGACGAACTCGATTTCAGAGACAGAAACAGGAGAAGCCAAAAATGAAGTGTAAAATGGATGCGAAGATGAGTACAGTTCGTCGACCCAGAGATGCGTGACGTGCGTCCATGGCAGAGAGAATGGTTAACCGGCGGAGGATAATCTCCCTCGCCTTCGGAGCTCCGATTTTGGTTCTGTTTGCAGGGAGAGTTTCAAATTGGAGAATCTAAATCCTCATTCATTCCGATCCAGGTAATTAACATAAACGGTAACAAACGTTTTATTCTTTGTATAAAATGTTCACACTTTTAATTTGTAACCTAAGTGTATAGCAAAATAGTCATTTTTAGAAGTGGTAATTGGTACTGTGTCGGTTAAATACTAATTGATATGGCAGTTAGCGATTAACCAATAAGCTAAAAATGCGAATCGATTAGTCGTCTCTTATTAGTTTGGTTAGCTGTTAGTTTGGCGGTTAACCACTAACATATGTTCTAACAAGTACGTAGGGATGGCAATGGGTCGGGTCGGGGACGGATAGTGCATATCCGTTACCCTACCCAAAGTAGTTCGGGTTTTACCCATACCCATACCCACATAAGAAATGGGTAGAAAATCAAAACCATGCCCATACCCGTTCGGGTTTCGGGTATCCACGGTTATCCATGGGTAATAGTTTCTCTTTATAACTTCAACCAATATTGTTATTATTCACATGTATTCTCACATTACCTAAGACAAAAAGTATGACAATAATTCACTAGAATGAAGAAAATTCATTAAAACAACACAATTTCATGAACAAGATTATATTTATATGCTAAATATAAAATGTATTAGAGAGAAATAATGATTATTTCTAGACAAAATACATATGCATGTGTATATCGAGCGGGTTCGGGTTGGATAGTGAGAAAACCATGCCCACCCATTACCCGCAATATTCGGGTTCGGGTTTTACCCTTACCCGCTAAAAGTCCTTCGGGTTCGGGTTTTACCCTACCCGAGAAGGTCGGATTCGGGCGGATATACACGGTTACGGATATTTTTGCCATCCCTACAAGTACGAATACACCTAATCAAACTAATAACTTTTATTTTCTTTCACGAAATATAATAAAGCAAAATAATAACCATGTGTAGTATTACACAAATAATTAAGTTTAACAAGTATCATTTAATCCTAACTAGCTGTAAAAAAAATTAGTGTTAATACCTTATTTTGGTACGAACTATACACAAACTTTCTACCTTGGCCCGTGGTTTCTGAAAGGGTTATAGGTATAATATGTCCCTCTACTATGTCATTTTATCAAACATGCTCATCTACTATTTTTTACATCAAACATGTCCATGTACTTAGAAATATGATCAAACATGTCATTCTGTTAAGATTTCCATCCAAAAACTGTTAACCACGACCAAACTTTTGTTAGGGTGACACAAATATCTAAAATATCCATAATAATTTCACTTTAGAATTTTTTTGTTCTTTTGTATAACCAAATAATTCTAATAATTTCACTTCGACGAGACCTAGACAAATAAAACAGGGGATAAAAATGACATTTTTCCTCCCATTTGCTGATGTCGGGTCGTATAAATCTTGGTTCAACCATGATTGACGATTTTTTCAATGAAAATTTTAACAAAATGGCATGTTTGATAATTTTCCAAAGTACAGTGGCATATTTTATGTAAAAAATAGTAGAGGGGCATGTTTGATAAAATGACATAGTACAGGGGCATATTATACCTATAATCCTTTCTGAAATTGCTCCCCTAGCCCGAACTATGCACCATATTTCCTTGATTGGCCCGACATGGTTTTGAGGGTTAACTGTATGGTTGGTCACTGAGATTACAAAAAAACGTTCATGTTTGGTCACTGTAAATATTTAAATCTAATCTTGGTCACTCAAATTAGTTAAATAGTTCAAGTTTGGTCACTCTCCGTTCATTTCCGTTAACTCTAGCTTACGTGGCAGTCAACTTTCATAGTTGACCGTTAAATATGTGACGGGTGAATTAAAAATTAATAAAGAAATAAACTCTTATATTTTCCACTTCATTATTACATTCATTAAAAAATAAAAAAACCTATTTTTTTTTCTAAACAACCCAATACCCTACCCGACCCAACCTCACTCACCACCACCAGAACACAACCTCCGACCCGGCAGCGGCATTCCTTCCAAGTTCGGCGAGCTCCCCATCATCACACTATCTGTATCGAACACCTGCTCCATCTGGTAAACCACCAACGCCTCCAACCACGACGACAAAATCCCCCTGATCTTCTCGTCGATGTGCCCCACCACTGCCTCGTGCAGCCGCCACACCGCCCACCCCAAATCGTTCCCCAGTAGCTCCCCCACCGCGGTTGAGGTCCTCATCGGATTAATCAAGTTCCCGAAGTAGTCTGGATGCAGGGGAGGATTCATCCTTCCCCTGTTGTTGGTCACGAGACGACACCCGATGATCTTCTTCGGAGGGAAATTTCGAGCGCGGGTTATGCCTCGCCAGACCAATGCGGATAGGGATTGAACGACGACGTCTTGGTGGTCCGGGATCGGTAGTTGGTTTTCGATTTAATTTTAGCAATCGATTCGGCCGAGAAGTGGAAGAAGAGCTCGAGGAGCTCTGGCGATTCGTAGCTTCGGTCGTCCAAGCTTATCACTTACCTTCTCCTGATTGCCATCCTCTTTCTCGGCCTGCTCTATTTATTCTACGGCTCTTCCTTCGCGCCCGAATGGGACCCGGAATCTCTTTGCCTCGACGGCTCTGGCCCGATCCTCGGTTCACTTTCGGGTCCCCAGGTCTTTGACGATGACTCCCTCCAGAATCTAGAACTACCCAGAACCATTCGGGAGAGTTCGGCTCTGCTTTTCTCGAATTGGGGGATTTAGATGTCGTTTGATGTTGGAGAGTGTTGGCATTTTTTTATTGTAGATCTGTGATATGAAGTACTCCGAGCTCATACCTTGCTTGGATAGAGAGCTATTTTCCCAGCTGGGTTGAAGCTGAACTTGTCGTTGATGGAGCGCTCGAGGAGCTCTACCGATGGGGCGGCGTGGATCAATCGGGCTCCGGGACTGTTCACACATTCGAGGGAGACGACGTAGGAGCCGTCTTCGTGTGGGGATTCGGAAGTGACGAGGCGGCATACGAGTGGGTAGAAGTGGGAGAGCGTGAGGGAGAGGACATGGTTCAACCGGCGGAGGAATTCGGCGATATGGAAGTCGGGGGTGCGTTTTTGGTAGAGATGGCCCTTCTGGATGTAGTGGATGGAGAGCATGAAGAGGTCCCATGGAGACAAGTGTATTGGGCTATTCATTTCATCAGCGGAAGGAATGTCGTTGTCAGGGCGGCGATTGTGTTCTGGTGGTGGTGAGGTTGGGTTGTGTCGGATAGGGTATTGGGGTGTGTAAAAATGAAATTATATTTTTTTTTATTTTTAATGAATGCAGTAATGAGGTGGAAAATATAAAAGTTTATTTTTTATTTTTAATAATGTTTTAATTGCCACGTCACATATTTAACGGTCAACTATAAAAGTTGACTGCCACGTAAGCTAGAGTTAACGGAAATGGACGGAGACCATTTAACTAATTTGACTGACCAAGATTGGATTTAAATATTTCCAGTGACCAAACATGAATGTTTTTTGTAATCTCAGTGACCAACCATGCAATTAACCCTGGATTTTGACCATCAAATTGGAAGGTCAACTACAATAACCGTTAGCCAAATGCCAGGTGACTTACCACGTCAGCGAACACAAAATAAAAATTTGAAATTAACTACACTTCTACAATATTAACATAAAATACTAATGAGAAGAAATAACAGCAATACAACATTCAGCATGAATTCATAATCAAAATCCAAATTCAAATTCCAACACATAAAATTAACACTAATCAAACGTCTTCATCTAATTAGTGAATACCAGATACCAAGAAATCAAATACAAGAACCAAAAGATCATCATCATCCACAAACATCAAAGAAGCAAAGACTACTAGGGTGCGATGTTCACTCTATCGAGTGCAAATGGGAGTCAAAGAGGATGACTTTTGGGTTTGATTCTTAAACACATTTAAGAGTTTGAGATATCTAGAATTGCGACTTTGGTTGTTTTGAACCTTGAGACTTTTTATCTTAGCCAAAAACCAAAACTGTGTGGTTATACTAGTAGGCGGTTATCGGTTAACCACTAAGTTATTAGTCGGTTAGTGGTTAACTACTAAGCAAAATACAACTAACTGAAACTAAATCGCTAAAAAAATTAACAGTTAAGGATAATAAAACGGTTTATGTTTATCGATTAACCGCCTCACCGAACCTGAAAATGTGGTTAGTCAGCTAACCGATAACCGCTATTTACTTCTCGCTTGGTTGTCTTGGTTGAAGGAATTCCTCATATTAAGTAACAGGCCGTTTGTCAGCTATAACCAATACAGATGTGGTACACTGACAGCTAACCACGCTGTCGCCAACAAGTCGCAAGTCATCTCCTCCCAATCATCTCTCTCCCCCCCATTCCTCCACTGCTCTCCTTCCCCTCCACCCTTCTCAATCGCTCTAAATGGAGATAGCCCACCGCCAATGATAAAATTAGAGTTACCACCAATATACTAATATTCATAGACTCTATCAAAATAATAAGGCACAAAATTAGACACTCTTTAATCTATCAGTTCCAGTAGGTTGAATAAACAATCAATGATTCCTCGTTTTAAGATAGAAATAGGTTGTGATAGCTACAAAAAACTATAAACCTAAAGATCCAATAAACGCCACTCTCCGTTGTACAACCAAATTTTATTCATTCTATCTTCAATCTCAAGAGGCATATGTTTCAACAAAAAAAATTCAATTTCTAATCCTTCTTCTGCAACTCCATTTATTGAACTCCATTCTATTCACCATAGATTGATATCATAGTTGAAATCTTCTACTTGCACAACTTAAATCATCAACAATACTATCTTAGTTCTAAGAGATACCAGAAGATTGATTTTCAAAGGCGGCCTTGTATTGAGAAGTTAAATGAGCACAAACTATTTCATGTTGGAGGGAATTGCAGAGGAAGTTAGAAAGATATAAGAAAAAAGATTAAAAAAGCACAGAAAATTTAAATTGAAAATTAAAAATTGCAAGGACACAACACGTAGTAAGAGAATTAGTTTCTTCCATGTTAACCAATTATCAATTTATCTTAGCGAAAATTAAGGAGAGCAGAATTACAAGAAGAAGTTATAACACCTGCTTCGTATGTTTTCTGTTTTCGTGTTCTTGCTTTGTCGAATCCTCCAATTTTCTTATCCGTAGCTGTGCAGTTATAACACCCGCCTTTTTTCAAGTTATGGTTGGAAGCTCCATTTGTGTTTCTCTCCGTCCTTTCGTTTCATCTCTGCAATCGATACAAGAAGTAAAATCTTCCCCTCTCCCATTGACTCCCCTCGCTTGCTTCCTTTAGTCTAGATCTGATTCCAACTTACTCAATCCAATCCCTTATGCTACCTCCAATTTCTTTTAAGCGGCTCATTCTATAGGTGTATTTGATTTGTGACATTTCCTGTCTCTCTAAACTCTGATAGAAGATGGTAGAAATGGAGTTTATCGGCCTGTGGCTTTAGATAACTACTCGTTTAAGGTATGCGCTGCTCCTTACAAATTAAAATTGGAGCTCTTTTGTGTCAACTTAGAGTATGCTTTGTCATAAATTAGTTGGTCCTAATAATTTGAGTTGTTGGGAGAAGGTTATGTTGGAAATGAGTGAATAACTTTGAAAGCTATAGAGTCTCAAGTTGGATAAACTACCACATTGACAGTTTTACTTGGTGAAATGTGTATAAAGATAGGAGCCTCTCTCCTAAGGGCATGCCCCTTGGGGTGACCCACTTTTGTGGGAGAAGGAGGACCTAATAGACCACCAGAAACACGCACGCGCCCCCCGTCCGACCTATTGACTGATCGGTTGGTTGGTTGGTTCACTTGAGACTATATATTTTTTTGGAGAAATTCCGAACGAAATTCATTATTAGATAATTAATTATTAATCGGTTATTCGAAGGAATATTCTAAGGATAATCGATTAAAAGGAATATTTGAAGGATAATCCCGCCAGGAATTATCTTACAGACGGGTTCTAATTAAGGAAGTAATTACATCCTTAATTAATCCGACTTATTCCCCAAGCAAGAGGTGCATATTCCTAGGGGTTCGGCTCCTATAAATAGCCGCCTCCACAACCCCTCTAAACACACCACAATACGAGCATAAACACAATAGAGAGAGTGTTTAGAGAACTCGGGTTTTTGCACAAAACTGTGAGCATAAAGAGGAGCTGTTTAATCCTGGAGACGGCCGGTTGATAGTCTGTCGTGCGAATCGAGGGCAGTGCCGCGAACGTCTTAATGAGAGCGACCTAGTCCGCGACTCAGCTCCAGATTCGGTAACCTCGTTCTTGTTGCATGTTGTTTCGTTCCTAACAATTTTAAGATGTTCGGCTGCTGCTATGTCGACTGAACAGAACAACATGGCCGGATCTGGTGTTGTCGATATCAATCGACCCTTTCGCTTCGTTGGAGTCAACTTCCGTCGCTGGAGACAAAAGATGGAGTTCGACCTGACGACCAAGAAGTTGGCACACTGCCTCACCAGCATGCTCGTCAAGCTGCCGGAAGAAGTGACCGATGAGGAGAGGGCTGCTTCTGCTAAGGAAAGGGAGCATGACTTCATGTACAAGAACTACATCCTCAACGGCCTGACAGACTATCTCTACGACTACTATGCGGACTGCAAGAACACCACAATGATGATCTGGGATGCGCTCCAAAAGAAGTACGACACGGAGGAGGCTGGAGCTAAGAAGTATGCTGTCAGGTGCTACCTACGCTACCAGATGGTGGATGACAAGTCTGTCGAAGTTCAGTCCCACTGAACTACATACACAGAAGCACCTGTTGACAAGAAAGTGTTGTTGGGGACTACTCACACCACTATGGTTGCTGATTCTGGTGAAGTGGAGTTGAACTTCACCTCTGGGAAGAAGATGGTGCTCAAGGATGTGCTGCACATTCCAGAGATAAGGAAGAATCTTGTTTCGGGATATCTTCCTAATAAGGTTGGGTTTAATCAATCTATTGGAGCAGACTTGTATACCCTTACTAAGAATGGGAGTTTTGTGGGAAAGGGATATGCATGTAATGGGATATTCAAGTTGAATGTCGAAATTAATAAGATGAATTCATCAGTTTACATGGTGTGTGATTTGAATGTTTGGCATGCTCGTCTTTGTCATGTGAACACACGAATTTTGAAGAATTTAAGCAAGCTAGGACATATCTCTAAACTCTCAATGAATGAATTTGATAAATGTGATTTCTGTAGCCAAACTAAAATAACGAAAACGCCCCATAAATCTATGAGTAGTGAATCAGAACCCTTAGATCTGATTCATTCTGATATTTGTGAACTAGATGGGACGTTAACTAGGTCTGGCAAGAGATACTTTATCACTTTCATCGATGATTGCTCTGATGATTGCTTTGTTTATTTAATGAAAAACAAAAGTGAAGCCCTTGATATGTTCAAGGTATTTGTGGTTAGAATTTGAAAATCAATGCAGTCGAAAGATAAAAAGACTAAGGAGTGATAGAGGATCAGAGTATGACTCTAATCCCTTCAAGGAATTCTATAGCTCACATAGTATCATTCATGAAACCACGACACCAGATTCACCAGAAATGAATGTTAAAGTTGAGTGGAAAAATAGAACGTTTACAGAATTAGTTGTGGCTATTATGGTCAATTCTGGAGCTTCTTCTTCTTGGTGGGGTGATATTTTTTTGACGGTTCACCGGTATCTAGAATAACATCCATTCGTGTCATGATTGCTCTTGCTGCCTTGAATAATCTCGTGGTACACCAAATGGATGTTAAGACAACTTTTTTGAACGGTGATCTGGATGAAGAAATCTATATGGAACAACCAAAAGGGTTTGTTATCCCCGAACATGCCTCGAAAGTCTGTAAGTTAGACAAATGATTATATGGTTTGAAACATGCTCCAAAACAGTGGCATGAGAAGTTTGACACTCTCGTTCTCTCACATGGCTTTAAGGTGAATGAAAGTGACAAGTGTATTTACTGCAAGTCAGAGAATAACACTTGCACTATCATATGTTTGTATGTAGATGACATGTTGATATTTGGTACAAATATTCACGTGGTCAATGAAACAAAAGTCATGTTGAAAGAGAGTTTTGAGGTGAAAGATCCGGGAGAAGCAAAATTTATGCTTGGAATCCAGATAACTAGAACAACAAATGGTTATTCTCTAGATCAATCTAGCTACATAAAGAAGATC